TTAACTCTTAGCATCTTTGTTCTTCATTTATAAAGTGGCAATGTTAATACTCTAGGTTGATTTTTACCAGGTCTTTCTTTAGCCCTACTAAGCCAGACTTTGACTTTGGCAACTCGTATATAAATTTATATGTAAACCTCAAGGTTTATGTAGCACAGTGGATAACTGATGACATCTTCAGCCACCATTTTGTCCTTGGCTTTGGTTAAAAAAATCCTTCATCATTCTAGAAACATCAAGTATGTCAGGTATATAATCATAGTGCAAATTGCAAGTCATGCAGAAATCAAAGTTAGAGAAATTGGCTCACTTTTCAAATGCACCACAGAATTGTACATTCAGATTCAGCACTAAAACAATTTTTATTAAAAACAAATTCACACACCACTTCAGTCACTAGTTCAAGTTAATTCAAAATGACTAAAAGCATATACAAGTTTTAGAAGTTCCCCAAAAACAAAAACAACAGATTTAACGGCCACAGGTCAAAATCATTTTGAAATTCAGCAAAAGCCTTGTGTAAGTTTTTCACTGTCTAAAAGGGCCAATGAAGAGGAACATCTCAAAATCTCATTGGGAAGGTGGTTTCAAAGTCTTAGAACTACTGCAATAAAGATTCACCTCCTAATACTTATTTCCACCTTACATCAGGCCTGCTTTCTGTGCAGAAATACCCTACAAATACGTTTGACTATATCCCCTTAAGTCTCCAGCCACCGTGTTTGGCCCGCTGGGACATGTGATAATCTTAGTCCAACATATCTGAAGCACACCAGATTATGGAAGGCTGATGTAGGCACACAATATTAGTGATATGGGGCAGAAAATTAAGAAATGAACATTTTTCCATGACTATACTTTTTTCACCAAAACATTTTTTTTATCTTTGACATTTCTATTGTTTCATAAGGGTAATTAGAAACTTAATGAAGAAAATGGGCAATTGGAATGAATGCAGTACAATACTAGTCAATGTTGCAATTATTCTTTGCAACTAAGATCACTAATTTTAAAATTGTGATTATTTTTATTTTGTAATTCTATTATTTCCTCAGATGATTATGCCCATGAAGAAGATCCCAGTTTTAAAAAAAGAAGCCAGGCAACCCTCCAGAGCCAGTGCTAACAAGGGTAGACAACAATGGATTAAATGGATAGACAAGTTATTCAAGAACGCTAAAAAACATTGATAATTTAAAATGGCTTCCTTTTTCCCTTTAAAGAAAAAATAATATAAGTGAAGAATATCCTATTTAATTGTTGTGTCTTGAAATATTTAAGGTCTTCCTATAAATGTATGTGGGCTTTACCAAATAAATCAAATAATTCAGCTGAACTAATTTTGTCTATTAGAGGCCATTTTCAGATCCCTATATAACAATTAAGATAACTTCTATTTTTATGTTTTAGTTTGGTTATTAAAGAAAACTCAAACAAACATTCTAAATTAAGTGTCCACTGATCTGGGGCAGCAGAAAATTTCCAAGCAACCTCTTTCCTTCATAATCTTGTAACTTAAAGCTAGATCTGTAGTTTAGTAACAGAGAGTAAATTCAGTCAAATTTTGGAAACAGAGACCATATCACTATGACAGAAGGCATGCTTTCTCTAAAGAAACACCCTGGTTCCAACCTCAATTTTTAATGCAAAGATCAGGCATCAGGTGATGAGAAAGGCCCTGTGGAACAACTGAGAAAGAGTAGACAATACTGGACAGATAGCAAGCCCTACAGTATCTTCCTGTGTTCCTATGATGGTCCCACTTTATACTATACATACAATGACAGACATGAAGCATGATTCTAACTATGTGAATGGCTGGAAGGAAGTCTCACTAATTCTTGTGGGACTTACATCCAGGTAGGTTCACCTCTAGCTCCAATTCTATGCAGTTATTCTGCAATTTTCTGCACCATATTCTGAGTAATTGTAATATATTACACGGCATGATTACTTACATTCGCTCCATCACCATCGTCACCTCATATTCCATTTCCAAACTACAGGAGAAAGTACCCACCACTAAGTAGTCACCACATAATACTGTAAGAGTTGCATACTGGTAGACTTAAGGGAGCCACAAAGTGTGCAAGGATAGAAAAAAATTCAAGGAGGAACATCTAAAACAGTCACACCAGAACTCAGCAGAACAAAATACTTACTGGAAAATTCAATCTTTGATTCACACTGATACACTATTCTATAAGCTTCCTAAGGTCCAAACACAAGCTATCCATAGGCTTCCATAACTAAATCAGATGACTGAATTCGGTTGGGATTAGGCACAAATATGAATTAAAGTGCCTTGTTACAACTGCTACATAGCCAAAACAGAGCTACGGAGAAAGAAGAGGAAGGTATCAAAAACAAGGCTCAGAAGTACTGTATCAGAAAGAAAATATAGGACCTGGGACCATATGCGGCAACTTTCCTGTTCCTGAGACACTGGATGTCCATCAAGCAAGATTCAGACTTGAAAGGTCAAGAAAATCAGTGTGGATAGAGCTAAAAGTTTAGGGAAATACAATTAATACTGTAGCTCACCATTCCAAATCATAGAACAAAATTCTTGATCTATCAGTCTTAGATTCTGGTTTTCTAGCTTTCTGAACCCTGAGCCAAAATGAGATGAGCTTGACTCTGATCTTAATCAGATTTTGGTTACCAAATTAAAAAGCAGCCTCTTATAATTGTTTTAAATGCAACAATTTTTTAAATGATTCCTTAGTACAAAATAAAGCACAATGTACCTCTTATAAAGAGTGCATCTATGAATCATACATGCCCTTCTGTTCAAAATCTGTGGAATGTTCTCATATCACTATAAATTGTAAGATATGAACAACAAGCAAACTCCAGTTGAATAATTTTTGTTAGATAGTATCAGGAAATATAACAGTCATATCAATCTGCAGAATAAGTCTTGCAGTGATTTCAAAGACCAGCTTCCTACAGGTACTGTTTCAGCAGAACAACACATCAGATCTTACTGCACAATCTGAGTACCACAAATGACCCAGAGAAGGAAGTGTATAAAGACCTCTCTTCCTGAATTAATCCGTTGACATATCCTATACCACATTAACTTTCATCATGCTTATTAAAACAGCCCTGATGAAAACATTTTGCAAGTGCAACTGCACTTGTTCAAAATATTTGGGGAAGAAATTGATGAAGAATGAACTTCAATACATGAAACAATTTAAAAATACTTCAGTTTTAAACCTCTAAAGCTGTGCCTCAGATCCAAAACAGGAAACAGCAAATTGAAAGAAAGAAAAAAACAAACCAGATGTTAGTATTATCAATTACCAGGCATGCAGAATTGAATTGTTTCATCACAAAAGATTCAAGAAAATTAACTCATCTCAAAGAATGCTGCAGCTTAAATTTTTTCTGCCACTGCCCAATCCCACTGAGACAGCAGTTTCTGTTATCTGATGCTATTATAAAGAGTGACAGATAGACAAATAGAGACACTCCTGTGAGTTTCATGGCCTGCAAAATAGGCAAACTTCAAAAAGGGGAAAGGGAAAAAAGTTAGAAGACAGACTAAGGAAAACGACACAGCAATCTTTTGGTTTTATTTTATATTAACTTGGAGTATCTGTTGCTACTAACACCATCTCCAACTGTGTAATCAGTAGTATTGGAATACTGTATATGTAAATCCTACCATTAGGGGCAGATCATATCATATTTATTTATTTATATAAAAGAATTAAAATATACAAATCCTAATTTATTTTGATAGTATTTCTTTAATTTATCTTGAATATGCATCCCAAGAGGGATATCCTGGAGTGAATGAAGTTTTTGAATCAGACTAAGTAAACAATGGAATTCCAAATTACTGCACATAAAGAAAACATAAGCATCTTGAACGTAACCTCCTCATATCCAATTGTCCTATATGTATGTTTCATAAAAACCCAATCAGTTTCCCAGAGTTTGTTCCTGCAGGAAAAAAAAATGTGTAAGCATGTCTGATCACTGAATTCAATAACTGAGACGTTTGTGCACAACTCCTATAAATAAATGCTTTCCAGATGGTGTTTCTGTAAGATATCCGTTGGCAACAGTAACCCTACAACCTGACAATTCTTCACAGCAAGGCTGGCAATACGCCTGCAAGTAACTGAGATTACTCTGAAGTGACTGGGATCTGATGAAACAAAAAACAAAAAAAGTTTATACTGGCAGTTCAGGAAATATGAAAAGAGGAAAATAAGACTGGGGAGAAATGCCAGAATTTACATCTACAGTACCTGGAAGTCAAAAGGCAACCAGTTTGAAAAACTTAATCCCAGAAGTGCAAGAAAAAGCTACAGCAGTTTGCTTTTTTTCAGTATGCTTGGTTCAAAGCATGCTTTGCAGTGCAACTCCAAATGTTTCCCAGCAGAGATGTGCAATATTCACAAAAGCTGCTGCAGTGCAACTTTATCCTTGGTAGAACCGTGAACCTGTGAAAGTGAGATAAATCACTGTCCTTCAGGCAAAAGAAAGAGCAATTAATTTCAGCTCTTGGGCGATTTTAACGGCGAGTTATCTTTTATTATTATCTTGCCTAAACCGGGAAGTAAACGAGAAGCGGAAGAGTGGGCTGAAATGGACTGAGACTTAAAAAGCAGACATAGACACAATGTCCCATCCCTCAGGATTAAGAGCAGTTTCCCCCATCATTTTAAACTCCATGACTGAGGAAACGGTTAGGAAAAACTGCGGTAAAAGGAGGTGTCAACGCCAGACGGAGAGGTTTGTGGCCGGGGGGGGGGGAGGGAATAAAGCCTTAATGAGGGAGAAGGGAATTTCGGCAAGAGGAGGCCTGCAGGGCAAAACGGGACCAGAAAGGGGCAAGTTGTGAAGCGGGCGGGGGAAAGGACCTGAGGAAGCCCCCCTCCCCGGGGGGACCGCGGGCGGGCGCCCCAAACTTCACCGCTTCGCTACAGCTTCTCGCCCCCGGAAAAGTCTGCACGGAACGCGCTCGCTTCCACACCCACCAGGAGCCACGAGGTTGTCCGCCGGGTCAGGCGTCGGAGCCGCTGAGAAGGAGGCGGGAATCGTGGCTGGTCCTTGAGGAGCCATCGCTGTCTGAGAGACTCCAGCACCGTCCGGAGACCCCCGCCTTTGGCGCTTCAGCCCCCAGCTATCCGCCGCTTTCCTGCCTCCCGCTCGGCTGGGCGCGGTTCGGAAAGGCTCCGCCCACCTCCTGCCACTCACTCCAAGGCCCGCCCTCTCCCTCCGCCTCCAGAGTGAGGGAACGGAGTCTGCCCGCTGGTGACGGCGGGAGCCCGTTCGCGGTTGGAGGGAGGTTTGCCCTTGAGGTGCGGATAAGGCTGTATTTTTATTTTTTGTTTATTTTTTTTAAGCATAAACCATTCGGTAGGATGTCACGTGCGACAGACATATTTAATATATTCCTTGAGAAGAGAACAGACAGGACCTCTGGTGGTGTGTTGGGTTTTTTTTTTTTTGAAACATTGCCTCTTACATAAGCTTTCGTGGACGAAACGTCCACGTTAACGAATGCATCTTCTTGTCGTTAATCGGCATCTCTGGCGTGGAGTTCGCTTTCGTTTTTTAGGAGGACAAGGCCGGTAGCCGTAGATGTCCCAAGAGATTCAAAATCATGTGAAGCCAGTGACCCGATTTGAGGTCATGGCTTTTTCCTTTCGGTTATGTCGAAACCGTCAGCAAGGCGAGATCCTGCGTATATGCATCCAAGGGCCGCGTTTTTTGTTTTCCTCCTCGAAGCACTCACGGGAATGCAGCGACATTTTACGTTGTTCCTCTTCGGGCGGTACTTTCCCGGGTACCCCACGAGCCAGAGTTCCCGTTTGAAACGTGAAACAAGCTTCCCTTTGGAAGTGCATAATTTTTACCGTTCTCTACACTTTTGAATGTCGTTATGAAAAAAAAAATAACTTACGATTCGTTTTTTGCTGTTTGCTTTTTTCCCCCCTTTTATTTCCAGGAGAATTAGGGTTGGGATCCTGCGTCATGAAAGGGAAAAAGAGTTTGTTTGGTTCTTCAAAAAGACCATCAGGAAACAAAGGAGGAGATGCTACTGCACTGTACTCTTCTGAGGGTAATGCAGAACACGTACTGCAGTAGCCTCATGATGGCTTGGATGAAGTGAGCTGAGGGGCTACGTTTTCTGCGAGATAGAAATGTCAAAGCAAAAGAGGCCAGTTTTCCACAACAAGAAACCAGGGAGGTGCTGAGAAAGGGCAGCATGGACAGCCATCTACATAAAAGTTCCAAATTGCACCTTAGAGACTACTCTTGGGTCACTATGTGTCATGCTTTATATGTCATCATTAACACTTTGAAATCAATGGAGAAATGAACAGGCAGCCAATGCAAGGCAGCCAGAGTAGGGGATATGCTGATATTTTCTCACCCCAGTGAGAAGTTTGGCTGCCGCATTCTGCACCATTTGAAGCTTCTGCATCAATCTCAAAGGTAGCCCCATGTAGAGTGTGTTACAGTAGTCTAATATCGAGACTACAAGTGCATGGACCAGAGTGGTGAGCGCCCCAACATCAAGGTAGGGACGCAGTTGGGCAATCTGCCACAGATGGAAATAGGCGGAGCAGACCACTGACGGTACCTGGGCTTCCATGGTGAGTGCCGGATCCAGATGGACTCCCAAGCTGCGAAACTCACTCTTCGTGGTGAGAGTTACTCCCCCAAAAGAGAGGGAGTTTCCATTTAGGAACACAGGCAAAAAACAATCAAGATTATGTACAATATATCCCACTCCTTGAAAGGTGCAATTGTAAATGATATACTGTAACCACTTTACCTTCCAGTGGTTTTAATATTGTGTCTGATCAGTGTATAAAGAAGCAGATTCACCAAATAGATCTGGCTAGTATACAAACTAGAGCTCAACAAGTATGTTCTTCTTTGGTATCCCTGTTCCTAAGACAATTCCATCATATTTTTTCCATCAAACTATTCCACAGTTTGATGTGTAATACGATGAGATGGTTGGACAGTGTCACTGAAGCTACCAACGTGAATTTGACCAAACTCTGGGAGACAGTGGAAGACAGGAGGGCCTGGCATGCTCTGGTCCATGGGGTTACGAAGAGTCGGACACGACTTAATGACTAAACAACAAAAATTCCACATTACTACAGAGCCTTTTTACTGTATATGCAGGACTGAATATTGTTCCTTTTAGGGAGATGCAAAGAAGATTTTCAGGTCAACCTTACTCTGGGAGAGTTTGTTCATGTGACAGCACTAGGCTGGGATACTTTCACATATACTGTGTTCTTGCCCTTTTTTATGCAACTGCAAGATACCATTTTATTAAACCTTTATTTGTTTTATTGGAAATACCATTCTCTAGGGACCTTTTCCCTACACTATTAGAATATAAAAATCCTTATGTCTCTGTAGCAGTTGCTAAATTTGTTGCTGCTATTCAGTCCACCAAAATAATTGAATCTCATGTTATTTAAATATTTTGTACCATGTTTCCCCAAAAATAAGACAGGGTCTTATATTAATTTTTGCTCCAAATAACACATTCGTCGTCGTCGTTTAGTCGTGTGCGACTCTTCGTGACCCCATGGACCAGAGCACGCCAGGCCCTCCTATCTTCCACTGCCTCCCGGAGTTGTGTCAAATTCATGTTGGTTGCTTCAATGACACTGTCCAACTATCTCATCCTTCTCCTCTTGCCTTCACACTTTCCCAACATCAGGGTCTTTTCCAGGGAGTCTTCTCTTCTCATGAGATGGCCAGTATTGGAGCCTCAGCTTCAGGATCTGTCCTTCCAGTGAGCACTCAGGTTTGATTTCCTTTAGAATGGATAGGTTTGTTCTCCTTGTAGTCCAGGGGACTCTCAAGAGCCGCCTCCAGCACCACAATTCAAAGGCATCAATTCTT